TTAATGGCACAGGATGGGGGGGGGGAGAGATATTAATTTAAAAATATTCTTTTTATACTCAGAATAAAATGTAACTTCTGTCTGTTACACAGGAGGAGGAATTTTTATGCAGGTCAAATTGGCTAGTGACGTTGGGATTTCTCCGTGACAGCTTTCGATCTCAAATGTGATTCTTGGCTCACTTACTCAAGTCACCTAAACTAATGGGCTATGGTGTGATGACCTTTATTTACTCCTGATCCTTGTTGAGGTCTAGATGCTGCAGCTCAGGGGGCTGATGCAGACAGCTGAGTTTTTCAGTGTTGTTATTTTAATCTGACAGCAGAGGTTCTGAACTGTACCAGAGGAATCAGGAAAAGATCAGCCATGGCAAACAAACTGTCCAAGACATTAACAGTGCAATCCTAAACAAAGTTACACCCTTCCAGATCCATTGATGTCAATGGGCTTAGAAGAGTATAGCTCTGCTTGGTATGACACTGTGTACCTTTCCATCCACCACTGATGCACTCCACCATCCCAAGTGCTGGAAGTATTCTAGGGTGCATGCTCACCTCATACCAGCAAGGCCCAACAGGCAGAATATACTGGCAAAAAGAGGTTTCTACACTCAAGCTTACTGATGAATGGGAATACAGAGGATTTGCAAGTCAGGACTGCTTTTTGTTTAGTAGTGACTGGCTATTTTAAAACCAAGAAAAAAAACTGGAATGCTTTTAAAAATAAAGCAGATGTAAAGAAGTAAATATTAGCTTCAATCCAGGATCACATGAGAACCTGAAATCCAACTTTACTTCTTGAGTAATTTTTAAACTAGATATTGTGGGAGAGGGTGGCAAAACAGGATTGCTCCTGAGGTCATAATAACAAATGGAACAGAGGGACTGGTTTACATTCTCCAAAGCACCTCCACACGAAAGGTGAGCATGCAGTGGACCTGACACACAACCTGGCAGAGATGCACTTATAACCGCAACTTCCCAGTAGCGGTCTCCAGCAAATTTAGCAACATTCTGCCAGTCGAGCCACAATGCTCCCAAGAACTGCCTGTGGGATGCCATAACTGTACCCGGGGAACTGTCAGATCACACACTGTATCATCACACTTGGGAACGAAACACTGTCCTATTTTTGTCCATATGTGAAAGTGATGCAATGGATAAGAAACTGCATGATGTAACCCAGGGTACATTTCTGGTTCAACTCTTGCTTCTGTAATAAACAAAATGAATCTCTTTCTCACCAGATGCACACACTTTACAACTCAAGGATAAGAATAATGGACTGTTTGCATGGATTAGGAAGATAATCTGTGTCAAGCGCTCTGAACTCCAAAGGCTGAACTTCTATTGGGGAAAGAGCACAGGGGCAAAAAGTTGTGTCCTTCCCCAGCGTCATCCAAACAGGGCCTCCACATGGCGGCTTCTCAGACCAAAACTGCACATCTGAAGTTTCAGTCCCAGATGTGTATGTATTCTGGCTCTACAGCAGTATTGAGAAGCTATGTTTTATAGAGAGATTGTGTACTGGTCAATTTTTAGGTAGGTCTGTGTTGTAAAGGCAAAAGAAGATTCATTTAACTTCTGCCATCAGAGCAACTGGCATATCACAGAGCTCACTAATGTGGAAAAAAAAGTGTAAACATTTTCTAGCTCTGTACAGGATTTCTTTTCCACTCCTGATGTTCTGAACAACTAAAAAAAAAACACACCTTCCACTCTATATAGGTGATCTTGGGCTGTGATCACACACGAAATAATCTACTTTCAATGCACTTTTCAACTGGATTTTGCCAGTTCACACAGTAAAATCCAGTTGGAAAGTGGACTGAAAGTGGATTGAAAGTAGATTATTTAGTGTGTGTGTGATCGCAGCCTTGGTTTCCTTTTTCCCCACTTCCATTCATGACAAAGTTTGTAAACAGCTACCTGCCTACTCATCTATGGAGAATGAAATTTTACCTCCAGGTGAACACACAGAATAGATTTTGTAAACTGAAAGAAATTCAGTTTGATTTTTCCTCTTTTCTTCCATGCTCCTGATATGCCTCAAATGACTACCTGAAGATATGTGTGGCTAAGGAAGGATCGCTGCTGTGGTTTCAGTGAGCTAGTGAAGGCCTTAGGGAATAGGCCCCACTGGTGGACCTCCTGATGGCACCTGGTATTTTTGACCACTGTGTGACAGAGTGTTGGACTGGATGGGCCTTTGGCCTGATCCAACATTGGCGTCTCTTATGTTCTTAGGTTAGGGAATACAGCTTCATCGTAAACCAGCAGATAAAAAGGGAATATTTTAGAGGACTGGCAAAAAAAAATTAGTTTGATCCCTTTCCCTATATATCTAGAAATATTAGCAATATATAAGCAAAAGATAAATATATAAGCAAAGGTTTTACTAATAGTCCTGGTACAAAGAAGTACAAAAGAAACAAAATTAACATTCTACAGATGTGTTCAACAGGCACACTATCCATGTAAGAATATGGCTAAGGTAACCTTCAAAGTTTGGAGATGGAAGGCCCAGATTAAAACCTGTAGTCAATTGTGAAGTCCCCCAGGAAGCTAATCACTTATCCATCACTTGGGCTAGCATATTCTGCAGGGTTCTTACAAACAAAGGAAGGGTTCACACACTATGCAGAAGCCAGAACCATCAAGGTTTCCAAATCCCCAATGAAATGCTGCACGCAGCAGCATTTACTGCAATGAAAAGCTAAAGCAACTAAGAGGACATCATGATAGAGGTTCTCAGGGGCAAGAAATAATTTGTCCTGAAACTGGCTGGCCATCAATGCAGGACAGACAAAACAGAAAATTCTCCACACCACTCATAACTGGCTACCACAAAATGTGAAGACAGCCATTAGCTTGGGTGCCTTTAGAAACAGGTTAGATAATACAGCCATTAGAAATCTTGGGTGCCTTTAGAAACAGGTTAGATAAGTTCACAAGAGATAGTTCAATGAGCAGCTAAATGGAACCTCCATGTTCAGAGATAGGATACCTCTGAATTCCAAGTGCTGGGGACAAAGAGCTTTTACAAAGGCCATCCCCTTGCAAGGCCTTCCTGTGAACCCCAAAAAGCATTTAGTTAGCAAGAATCAATACATCAGGCTTATCAATTCATCTCAGAACACAAAAGACGATCTGTGCGTTGCTCCAGTGCTGCTGGGTCCAACTGTTGCAAGTTCAAAGGGGGACAACAATGGGGATTTAGGTAATTCATGTTCCTGTTAACCCCAATTGGATTGTAACATCCAAATGAACTTACTGCTGCAATGACAAAATGAAATTAGAATTGTAAAGTCTTTTTTTTAATGAGTACTAATTGAATGAGTGTGTATATATTTATATATGTGTATAATATAGCACTCCAAAATAAACAGATTGAGTCCATCACTTCTGTTTATAACAAGCCCCCTGTAAATGACAGTTTTTGACTTTATGCAAATGATGTTTTATTTCGCTGTGCCAAAACAATGATTATCCATTTAATAAAAATAGTATTTCTATTTCTGCTACAAACCTTGCCCTGCTGGGGCTTCTGATATGGCACAAAACTTGATTACCTCTGTTCTTGATTTATACTGCAATCCTATGCAAGGTTACTCTGGTCTATTGATTTCATTGGGGTTATACTGGAATAACTGCATAAAATTGCACTATTAATCCGGATGATCTTAAGTGAAACTGTTTGCTAGGTAGCAAGAGGAGCCAGCAAAAATACTGAAGGGGCTGGATTAAAAAACATGAATTTTGCAATTCTTTGATTCCACAAAGATTGCAGATCCTTAGCGCATCGACTCTGGCCTGTCACAAGATAATATGCACATCCATTCTGTAAAACTATTCATATTACCACTTTAGATATTATATTAGATAATATTCCCCCAAGGATGTAAATGGGAACATTCTGCCTGCTACTGGGGAAAAAGAGAAATAAAAAATCCTAAACTGGGTTTCCTGAAATTACAACTGAAATCTGCAAATCTTCCATTTAAACACATTTTGGATTAGGAAACATATTTTACTTCCTTGCTCAGTCTAGTTGCTCTCCAATCCCACCAGCTCCTTCCCATTGTTCTCTAGCAGGATGAAGGTTTCATATTGGAGACCTCTTCAGTATTTTCCCCCCACCAAGGATGCTCATACAAGTAGCACACTGACCTAGACTCTATTCTGCTAAAAGCCATCAGTAACCTAAATATTATAAAAGAGGGAAGGGAAAGGTGCTATAGCGATGTAAGAGAAATTAGGCATAGGGGAAAAAACCAGATTAGGTTACAGTTCGTGCTGCGGGTTTGGGTGCATTTCTGGCCAACATGGTATTGCACTGATTTGACACGCCCACCCCCAGCCACCCCAACCCCCGCAGTTGAACGGGTGCTTTTTCAGGAGGCACAGCAGATGCACCGTGCCAAATCTCGCCTTTGCTGGCAACCCGGTGAGATCTGCAGTCCCTCCCCCGAAGCTCTTTATGCTACCCAGGCACAGCACGCCGCTAGCCACAATAGAGGTGGGGGAGGAGGGTCTGTCCTTTCATCAGTGTTAAAACCACGCCGATTAAGGAGGCCGGCAGCCGGGGAGGTGGGATGCCTTGCTTCATCTTTTGTGAGGAGGAGACTGGGGGTTTTAAAGCAGTATGTCTGCTGCACATTCAGAATCGAGGCCTGGCCGCATCGCGCACCCACCTCTATTGTGGAAGGGAAAGATCATGCGCAATGATGCAGACAGCCCAACCCAGACAAGTATGGCACGGAGCCCCCCTACATCCAGACGTGTCCATCCAAAGCCCCGGGACGTGAGAAGAATAAGCAGGCGCGGCATGTGCTAGAAACACAAAGAACTGGAGAGACCCCCTCCCGTCCCCTGGGCCAGGAGAGATGGGATGGCGAGGATGGGATCCCTGCTGCTGCAGCCCCTCTTCGGGTAACCTTTAGCCGGAGTGGCGGGGGGGGGGTGGGGGAGACACAGGACACCAGCCCTGCTCCTTCTTACCTCTCTCGCTCAGAGCGGCGAAGGCGACGGCCAGGAGGAGGAAAAGGAGGCGGGGGCGGCTGAGGTTCTCGGCCATCTCCAAGACGGGTCGGCGAAGGCGCACGGCGCGAAGATGCCCGAGGGAACTCTGGAGCTGCTGCCGGAATCGACGTTGTCTTTTATCCGGCTCGGCTAAGCGAAGGAGAAGGCAGGGCGGATCGGCCAGCCGCAGCAACCGCTTCCCACCGCCACCGAGCGAGCGAGCAGCAGGCAGAGCCGGCAGCGGAGAGGAGGGGCGCCGGGGACGCGTGGAGAGGAGCGGAGCGGGGCGGGACGCGGGAGGGCCGGAGCCGTCCGAGTCGCAGAAAGGCAGACCCTGCTCGGAGAGGGCGAGGCCTGCGCAAAGATGCGCCGGGGCGGGGGGAGGAAGGGCGGAGCTCCCCGGCAAGGCAGGCTCGGCGACTCCAAAACGGGAGCGGGGTCCCACCGTGAGGGGAGGGGACGGGGCGACTCGCCACTGTTTGCGAAGGCAGTCGGGGGCTTGGCAGCGTGGCCCGGGGAGACCCGGCGGCTGGGCCCGGGGCGCTGCCTTTCGAACCCCC